TTTTTTCTCTCTTCTCTTCGTTATACTTCTCATTCATCTTGCATTCTGTGTCCCTATTTGATGTAATATTTGTTTGACCTTGACCCGGGTTGCACCCTCACCACATCATTCCTGTGCTGGCCACATGTATACTTCAACTTTTCCCCAATCATTGCCTCATACCCCTGTGCGCATCATCCTGTTTTCATTTTGTTTGCATCCATAATATCCCCCCGCTGTTATTAATTCAAGTGCCCATTCAATGTGCGGCATAGCTAGTGATAATCAAAGAATCATCAAGAAAAATACTCTTCTGAGAATGTAGTGTAGTAGTAGTAGTGTATTTCTACAATCCATGGTTAGTGGTTTGGCTTCCGTCTCGGAACTCCGAACCACCGCAGTAAAAATTAAGTTAAATCCTCAACCAAATGATTAACAACTAACAAGGCCAAACCCTGGTCTACCTTAAACCGAACTATCACTAGTTTACTAGGTACATAAATCAAGCATCTAGACTCTAACGCAAGCGCGGGGTCACCTAAATAACAGAGAGAGAAAAAAAGTACCCCTCAAATGATAAAACCCACCCCACCATGACCCCATCACCACAACCACAACCACAACAGGGTCAAAGCCTAAACGTGATCGCCCTAATATCCGGAGGAAAAGACTCTCTCTACTCTCTCCTGCACTGCATCCGCAACGGCCACAAAGTCATCGCGCTAGCCAATCTCCACCCCCCGGTCCAAGATGCCCAAGAAGACATCGACAGCTTCATGTACCAGACCATCGGCCACGCTGTGATCCCCCTCTACGAGCAGGCCCTGGACATCCCGCTCTACCGCGCCCCCATCTCCGGCGGCGCCGTCGACACAGCCCGCATCTACCGCAATGATGCCACAGAGGAGTCCGCGCCGGAAGACGAGACCGAGTCGCTCGTTCCGCTGCTGAAGCGCGTGATGCAGTGTCATCCGGAGGCCAATGCCGTCTGTGCCGGCGCCATCTTGTCCACTTATCAACGCACCAGGATCGAGAATGTCGCGTGTAGGCTGGGCCTGACCCCGCTGGCTTGGTTGTGGAATTATCCGGTGCTCCCTGCGCCGGTGGAACGCGCGGGCGTGGCTACGCAGGCGGGGCTGTTGGAGGATATGGCTGGGGTTGGATGTGAGGCGAGGATTATCAAGGTTGCCTCGGGCGGGCTGGATGAGGGGTTTCTCTGGGGGGATGTTTCGAGTCGCGATGGGCTTGTGCGGAGGAAGATTGAGAGGGCATGAGGAGGTTTGTGGTTGATGATTTGGGGGGTGCTGTTCTTGGGGAAGGGGGTGAGTATGAGAGTCTTGCGGTTGATGGGCCTGCGTTTCTTTGGAAGGGGAGGATTGAGATTGCCG